TACATGCCGGTAAACCAAGTTTGTCAAGTGCGGGTATGTGCAGATGTGGCGCGGCTGCGATAACACGCATGTCACGCTTTTCATGTTCAGAACGAAACATCGCACGCCATCGCACTAACGCGTCACCTGGCGCACGTCTCAGGCTGGTCGAAGCCGCCTACGCCTCCTGTCCGGCTGAGCCGCGCCGCGCCATGAACCTGGCCGACGCTCCCGGCGGCGCCCGCAAGCTGCTGAAACTGCGACCTTCGCTGCTGCTGACGCTCGTGCGGCACGGCCAGTCAGAGGGCAACCGGCAGCAGCTGATCCAGGGCCAGTCCGACTACCCGCTGTCGGAGCTGGGCGTGCGGCAGGCGGAGGCGCTGCGTCACCACCTGGTCGAGCGCGGCGTCACGTTCGACGCCGTCTACTCCAGCGACCTGCAGCGCGCGCGCCAACGTGCGACGTCGTCGCCGGCGGGCTGCCCGTCACGGAAGACCAGCGGCTGCGCGAGAAGAACTACGGCGTCTGTGAGAACCAGCCGGTGAGCGAGCTGGCGCGCGCCGCGTCGGCCGCCGGCCTGCCGGTGGCGCAGTTCGTGCCGGCGGGCGGCGAGTCGCAGCAGCAGGTGCGCGCGCGCGCCGGCGCCTTCTTCCCGCGACGTGTGCCAGCACCACCTGTCCGATCAGTGCACGCGCGTGCTGGTTACCAGCCACGGCTGCCTGATCCGCGAACTGATCGCCACCTGTTCGAGACGTACCACGGCAACCTGAAGAAGGCGGACGCCAACCGGATTGCGCCCAACACGGGCGTGTCGGTGGTGCACGTGGCCAGGGCCGGGTCGGAGCCGGACTCACTGACTCTGCACTTTCTGAAGATGCACAGCGACGAACACCTGGGCAATGTAGCCTCCACAGCGCCGCCAGGTGTTTGATGCTGGCCAACTGTAGGCTCCCAGAACGCGGGAAAGGCTGAAATGGCTTTGGTTCGTGAAGGGGAAATTGTCGTCTGCGAATCAGCCTCAGGTGTCGCCCATCGCTGGGTGTAATGCTCAGGTGGGGCGCTGGGGATTTGGTGATGCAATAGTGGCAAATTTGAGGCTTACCTTGCCGAACCCGCCGCACTGCGTCAAACTGGGCGCCAGCTGTGAATAATCGGAGCCCAGCAGCTAGTGTGGGTAGCAAGCTTGTGAATGAGACGAACATTATGAGTGAACATGCGCAACGGGTGAGTTTCAAAAATTTGGTTCCATCTGATGACACCGACATCGTCTCAAGTAAACGAGATGTTGTATAGATTTATTACTTGTGCAGTTAACTGGTGGCGGTTTGCCGGGGATTTCGCGGTGCTGGTCACGTACATACACACGCTTGCGAGCTTCGCCTTATTTATTTTGTCTCATCATCTTCATTCATCGGCACCCTGTTGTGTTGGCGGTGTGAGGGATTGTTCAACATGTTTTACTGGGCCATCCATATCTAAATGGCCGCGAGTCACATCTGTGTGCTCAAAATCCGTAGACAATCTTCACTTCGCGAATCCGCTGTGGATTTCTGTGGTCGTCTTCAAGCTTGGTCGTCCGATGGTGACCCCGAGGCCCGCCGTCATCCTGTTCGATAATCTCACGCCAGTTCATTTAGTTGGAATTCATCTGTTTGTGCTTGACATTTCTTTTAATTCGCAATGCGCTGATTGTATAATTACGGAATATACACGTATCTTCACGAAATTGGAGAGTTTTGGCTGTAGTCTGTGCTCTTGTCGGTTGATTTCCGTCTTCGATGTGCATGATTGGTATTACAGAGCGCTTCGGCTACTTGGGTCTGTTCGCGTACACAGTTAATGCCCGCGTCACGGGCATCAATAGGCGTGTACGCACCACGATCAAATTGTCCCCTTGGCATTGCTGAGGTTCGAACCAGCCCTATGCAAAACAATCGTGCTCCTCCCGTGCATCTGATTACGCTAAGTAGTATGCTCCTAAAGCGATATGTTGCCATGGGTCATTTTAGGTCAGTGACCTGACTTCAGAAGACCATGGGAGATGTAGAATGCGGCTTCTGTTATCAGTAAAATTCGAAATGAGCACCAGAAACTAACCCATTCAACAAGCTATAGTGTAACAAAACAGGGTTAGTTTTGACCTTGGTCTGACTTAATACCGGACCATAGGTCAATGCAATCTGTCGATTGAATTGCTGTGTTGCATAACAAAATTAATAAACAAAATCACAAACAGCAAGCCCTAGAGTAATAGAGCAGGCTAGTTTCGAACTCCTGGCTTTAACCTTCCAGCTTCGTCTACCACTCCGTTCTTGCATCCGATTGAACGATGCCCTAGAAGCTGACTTCGCTGAATCCATGGCCTGACTTTGACCTGCCGTAGGTCAGCGACCTCACACGGTACAACTGAATTCTTGAAACCGAATGATCCGCTTTTCAATTTTCTGCAGCTACGCAAAATTTGGCCAAAATTCGCCACACCGTTCGGAAACCATTCCGGAAATACCTTAGCAGGATCAATTTGACTCCCAACCGGGCACGTGTTAATGCGAGGAGTGTTCGCGGATCGAGGCTTGAATACGCGCCCGGGCTTTTACTGCGGACCTAAAAATTAATGTTGGTGTGGTGGCATGTCGGCAACCAGGTTGTTATCAACATATGTATGAACTATTCTACCCGAAACGTGGATAATTGCAAATAAATAAATTGCAATAAATTGCGAATTCCCCACATGCGCAAAATGGACTCGTCCAAGCAACCACGGCAGTGGTTAAGCCATGCAGCCAATGATCGCGAGCTTCCTGATGCTGGAGACAAATTATGACCCTCGTACCCACAGACATTCGGAACTAGATAGGACAGCTGGAATGGAGTGGTTCACTTGCTTGTACGCAAGCCGATCAGCATATTGTTGCACGGATAGGATGTCGAATGTCTGCATAAGATGTCGGAAGCAAAAATGAAGCTAGAACCGATTACGAAGGACTTTACGAGATAAGTTCATATGCCAACCATCCTGAAGCATCCATTTCTTCTATTTCACTGTTCAGTGAGTTACCCGCATGGAGAAATCTCCGCCGCCGACTTCCACGACCGCTGCCTGAGCGGACGGACCTACGTGGTCGCACCTGGCGATGGTGGGGCAAGCTGCCTTCACGTTGACCTGGCGCTCTAGAACGCCGCGGGGTTGGCTGCAATCGTATCAGATGTTTACTGTTGACATCCATGGGGAAAGCCTGAGGAGCGTGGGCCCACCTCAGGTAACGACTGTCACGGCGCCGCCGCTGGCCCGGATCAGGCCCGGAGGCCCGCGCTGCTCTCCCCGAGCATCAGCGGAACTGTCGCTCTACCTGGCGTTCGTGGGGCAAGGTTTGACAGTGATCGGTTCGGTAGGTTCTGATAACTGAGTTGTCTGCAAGCAAAAATTTTGGAATTCGTGAGATTTGGTGAATTTTACTTGACCTGGGGTCACCAAATTTAAGCTGTACGAAGGAAAACAGGCGTGGCACAGCCAATGGGGGAAGGTTTCACGGCGATCGGTGCGCTGGTCCCCAGGATCTGGGCTGCCTGCTTATGCATACACAATTTTCCCTGCACATTTGTAAGGCGTTTGACCTCAGGAGAGGTTTTGATATTGTCACCTCATGGCTCATCTTGTTGCACTGAATCGATTGGTGAAAGTTTAAAGTCGATTGGACGAATGGTGTCGGAGAACGAGCGCGTCTGCTTCATATGTCGGCTTTTTAGACTCTGCCCGTTGCGTTTGCACTTGCGCTCAGTTTGGCGAATTTGGCGCGTTAGTTGCGTTGGACGACGCGGAAACGCCGGGAATCTTCGTCGCGGTGTAAACGTTGGAAACGTTTTTCGGGGGTTGTCCGGTTTTCACCGTTCATCGTGGGCTTGTAGCTGACGTTCTGCGATTTTAACGTTACAGGCAGGTGGCAGTTAATTCCATCAGCACAGCGTTGCCTAACAGTACCTCTGCTATGGCGTGACAGGCAGCATAGCAAGCAGCTTCGTAAGGGAGGTGTATTTGGCACCATTTGGCTTTGATTTAGTGTATCTCATGCCTATTGAGGGGAGAAGACCTTTTTACCTGTTAGGGAAAGTCCGGGACAAGTGATCATTTTATAATGCTCCTGCACCTGTTAATCCACCACTTCCCTGTGATTGCTGCTCTGTGCAGCATGGTTTTTGTGGGATTTGGTGTATTATCATAAATTATATTTAGCTCATCAGCTTCCTTACTTGTGAGACAGTTTTAATAAATATTTTTGTCAACATTTCATCTTTCCATCTCTTTCAGCCCTCAATGCATTACTCTTTCTGCAGCCTGATTACTAAAACTGGTAAAAATGCAATGCTTGGAACATATCCCTGTGGCAACTGCACTAGAAATTCATTACATACAAATGATAGATCTGAGTGGTCAGAGTTTGGCTGTTTGGCACATATTCAGCACTAATTGCAGTGCATAGAGAGACAATGTTTTTGGGAATTATGATGTTGGGACAGTATAGGTGAAAATGCTCTAAAACATTATTTTCCACCAGAATGATATGCAATTTTAGCTCAATTTGGTCTGCCTTGAGCTTTGTTCATGTGAGTGCCTAGTTCAGTGCACCAACTGGTCAAGGTGTTTGGGGCAGAGGTGTGACTTGTTGCGGACTGGACTGACTGCATTTGCAAGCAAATGAATGTATTGTAAACTTATAAGGCTGGTGTTGCTTTTGCACAATTTTATGTTTTTTTTTCATTTATCACAAGTAAAAGGACAATGTCCATGTTGATAAGGTTCAATTTCCATGTGCTTTCACATATTTCTGGCCTTTAGAGCCTGCATGTGAGTCGATTGGTGCTGCATTTTGAGTGATTAGAAACATGCTTCAAAAATGTATTTTCCCAATACTTTGATCATTACACTGTGTCATCTTTTCCACAGTGTTATATTCACTAATTTTGACTAGATGCAAATGGATGTACCAAATACGTTGCACCACCTATAGCAGACAGTTTTCAAACCTGGGCATCTTTGATATAAATAAATTTCTAAAGACATTTGGAAAACAGTTACAGGCATGTAACCAAGCTGGCTATGCAATAAAATGTCTGGGCAGTTGTAGCAACACTGGGTGTCAATATGCATATGGACATGTTTGACATGACCACATTGCCCTGTTGTGTTAGATGTGAGAGGCAGGAGTACCCAGTTTGACCAGTGGGCAGAAACACCAGCATAACACCAGCAGTTAGCTGAGTGGCAACCCAGCTACAACCCCTGCCCTAATGACCCTGAATTGCCATAGAGGGAGAGGCTTTCTCACAGCCAGCAGCTTCAGCAGACAGGCAAATGCATAAGACTGAGGAGGGAGCTCAGCAGCTCGCTCAACCCCTGGGCTGCAAGTTGGGGAATGGGGGTGCTGAAGGCCCCATCTCCAACTGAATATGAATCCTGCAACTTAAACCCTAGGGCAGAGTTGAGAAAAAACCTCATCAGCCAGCAATCCATAATGGTCAGGGCTTTATTGTCGTCACCAACTGCCAGTGTTATTTTGAGGTGGATCATTGAACCATTACAAGCCAATTAATGCCTCTGTTAAGAAAACAATCTTACAGACCCCTCTCCCTTAGTTCAATGTAATGAACTTGTACACTCATGAGTGATCAGAAGAAAGTGATTATGGTGAAAAAGAGTGAACTACAGTACCATATGTTCTTTTCCCTATTTATTTTTCAATCAAAACATTGTGATGGATGGATGTCAGGAATCAAGACTTCATTCTAACCAGTGTGTGTTGTTGGGTCCTGACCCCTACAGTCCTGATTGCACTAATCCAGGTCAAGGGCAGAATTTAGTGGTGAAGGTTTAACATGCCACGATGCTTGGCACATTTCCTCCTGCCCTCTGACATCAACAATTGGATGCTTTGGGTTTATCTTCGTCAAGGTTCTCGGCCCTGGTCTCCCACGACAACGCATCGGGTGCGCTGACCGGACCCGCCGCTGTCCGCGCCGCAGGCCGAGTGGGTGCGCCATGGCCTCCAGCATAGAGTCCTACGTGGGCCACACTGTCTCCGTCATCACAGCAGATGGCCGCAACATCGTGGGCACGCTGAAAGGCTTCGACCAGACCATCAACATCATCCTGGATGAGAGTCACGAGCGTGTGTACAGCCAGAGCGCCGGCGTGGAGCAGGTGAGGCCCGGCTACAGCGGTACGCCGCCCCCGAGCTCCCAGAAACGCTGCATTTTCCACCGAGACTGACCAGACATCAGGCCTACATGTATATGTTAGCAAGACGAAACATTACGAGATATCGCCTTTCGACATGCAAAATACAAGACCGACCACAAGATAGGCATTATCATTTATTATCGCAGAAGGAAAATCTCTAAGTTTCTTATGAGAAACAGCCCAGACCAACCCGTTGAACTAAAATGCACCAACGTGGTGTATCAATTCAAACGCAATACCGAAGGCTGTAAACTTCGTTCCATACACTACCTTGGTGTAACCACAACGACACCCTCACGACGGCTGTCAATGTACTTTTTTATGGCAACTTCAAATTTGGGAAAACATGTTTTTTAACGATGCCATCTCCGTGGTCTGGGGGGAAGATGCTGGCCTCGTAATCCAGCGGCGCTGGGTACGAGTTCCAGAGCGGGCGCATTGTTTGGCCCAATTCAGATGGAAAAGTCAGCTGACAACTGGCCAACGAGCGTCGACTCTGGCCCGGGGCGACCGTGTCGCAGCATTGTGCGGGACGTAAAACCATTCGCATTCCTGTCTGGCGCAAGGGCGGAGGCTAAGTTATCCGGTGATCTGGACAGTACGGCTTGAGTGGTGGGTTCAGGGTGCACGGAACAAGCCATGCTTGGCAGACACTATGAACCCAAGGTCACCCATACAAACCATTCGGAGTAATTTAAGGGAAGCGAACTCACCAGGATGAAATGGGCAAGGAAACTCTCCCACAACCCTTGAGTTATTAAGTGGTTGGCGGTGAGTATCATAGATGTGATTGTGGTAATGTGTTGATGTCTGTATTATCCCATCGTGGAGGTATTTTATATTAATTAAATTCCTTATAGGATTCTGTCTTACTGCAATTGGTCATGCTTCATTTGTTTTCTCTGAACTTAAATATGTTTTTCATACAGTAATGCACAACTTGCATTGTTACAATTGTAAAATTTATTTATTTTGCCTTTAGAGATCTCTGACGGTGAAGTAAGATCTCGAAACGTAGATAAATATAAAATAGACATTTAAACATTCGTAAATGGTTACATAGGTTACAAATTTGTATTCCGGTCGTTTTCCCCGCTAGAAATAGATACGGATATGACATTCTAGACTGGATGAAGGTGACTTGTTTGGAACGATCGCATTGCTTTTGCATGTGAATAGAAGTAACGTTGGTGAACCATAACGACAACGGTTGTGACCAACTACTATCGCCTCCCTCCCTCTCCAGGTGCTGCAGGTTCTGTGCCTGATCCGTGGTGATCACGGTGGTGACCAGACCTTCCCCCCAGGTGGTGTTGGGTCTGTACCTGATCCGTGGCGACAACGTGGTGGTGATCGGCGAGATTGACGAGGATCTGGACTCGCGCGTCGACTTCCAGAACGTGCACGCCGAGCCGCTGATGTCGATCGTGCGCGGCTAGCCGGGCACGATCGACATCACTGCCGGACGCGGCTAGCCGGGCCGGGCAGTGTGGCCTCCGCCGCGCTCGCTCCAGTGCGGTACGTGTCATCCCCGACCATGGGCTCGCCCGCCGGCGGTGACGCCCGGCCGCGGGACGGCACCGGCCAGGGTGGTGGCGCCGCCCCGCACGGGGACGACGCTACAGAGAGTGTTGGTGACCTCGCCCGGGGTTGTGACGGCGACCCACCGGGAGGTGACGCCGCGAGGCATGCTGAGTACGCCTGCCCGGCGGCGGGCAACGCGGCGCTGACGGGGGAGGACGTCACACTGGACGATGCCGCCAGGCGGCGCCACATGGACGCGGCGTTCGCGGCGGCGCGCGAGGCGCTCCGCCATCAGGAGGTGCCCGTCGGCTGTGTGATGGTGCGCGCCGGCCGCGTGCTGGCCACGGGCCGCAACACCGTCAACGCCACCAAGAACGCCACGCGCCACGCCGAACTCAACTGCGTGGATGCCATCTATCGGCAGTGCGGAGCGGCTGGCGTGCCGGCAGCGGCCGTGTGGGGCGCCACGGACGTGTTCGTGACTGTGGAGCCGTGTGTGATGTGCGCGGCGGCGCTGGTCCAGCTGGGCGTGCGCTCTGTGAGGTACGGCTGCGCCAACCAGCGGTTCGGCGGCTGCGGCTCCGTGCTGAGCGTGCCCGGCCGGCTGCTACCCACGGACGCCACGTTCGTCCAGGACGCCGAGCGAGTGGACGAGGCGATCGCCCTGCTCAAGGAGTTCTACAAGGGCGACAACCCGAACGCGCCGCGTGCGGAGTGAGGGGTTCGGCGAGTGCATTGACGCGTTTTGCCTGGGGCAGTGCACATCGTGACTAAACTGGCACATGTCGCTGCCAACCTAGCGTTCATTTGAGTGGCCGGTTTGGTTCGCATTCACGTTGGGGCATGCGTATTTTGGTCTCGGAGGGGGGGGGGATGCTGGTTGTACAAGCAGCCCTCTTCGGAGGACTGAGCCACTGTCCGCCGCTGCAGTGTCGCCGGGTGACGGTCGTCGGCTCGGGCCGCTGCAGTGTCGCCGGGTGACGCTGTCGGCTCGGACCGCCGCAGTGTCGCCGGGTGACGGCCGTCGGCTCGGGCCGCTGCAGTGTCGCCGGGTGACGGTCGTCGGCTCGGGCCGCTGCAGTGTCGCCGGGTGACGGTCGTCGGCTCGGGCCGCTGCAGTGTCGCCGGGTGACGGTCGTCGGCTCGGGCCGCTGCAGTGTCGCCAGGTGACGGTTGTCGGCTCGGGCCGCTGCAGTGTCGCCGGGTGACGGTCGTCGGCTCGGGCCGCTGCAGTGTCGCCGGGTGACGGTCGTCGGCTCGGGCCGCTGCAGTGTCGCCGGGTGACGGTCGTCGGCTCGGGCCGCTGCAGTGTCGCCGGGTGACGGTCGTCGTCTCGGACCTGCACATCGAACGTTCGACGGACATGCCAGATGGCCGGCCCATGTGGTCGCTTCAGGCCGGTAGCATAAAATAACAGCCAGCGTGCTACAGATTGTGGGAGCACCGCGATACCAGGCCATATCGAAAACGGTGCGCCGGGGAATCAGACCTGAGGTGTAGCCAGTCGCTCTAGCAGTGAGGAGCTTTGTAGGTTTTTTGGTGACATTGTGTCATCTGTAGTCCGGCTGTTCCCGGAAATACATTGTCGTTGGTAGATTGTCGGCGGCGTCGCCACGTGAGCGGCATGGTGTAGGCCAAACCCTTGACTACACGACAGCGCACCTGATCACGGTCTGATGACCTTAGGCTCTCGTAATGCGTGATCCATGTCCGAAGAACTACACAGATGTTGGAGGGCTGCTGAATACGGACTACGGCATCCTGGAAGAGCACGTAAGAATATATGTGACTGAATAGCGATAGATCAGTTCCTGGACTGGGCTCGTGTCGTTCTCAGAATTACAGGCCTACCTGAGTCCCCGGTAGACGAGCCGGTAGCAGCCGGCGGACTCGCAACCAAGCGCGCTACCGAACCCCGCTATATTCATTGGGTGGGAGGAAAGTAGACAAATCCGCTCAACGACGGAAAAGTCACGAAATCTGCACGCACGCATGTCTGCTTTTTAGAGCTGCTTATGAGGCGCAGCAGGCAAGTGACTCGAAGTTGCACAATTATGAGGCGTCTGGTGTTGATCTAAGGACAATTTCATCCCACTCATGGTGTAGGTGTGGGCGGCTCAAACGACCAAATGCGTTTGACGAGATCGCTCGCAAAGTCCACTCTCAGAGTAATGTGGACCGCTCGGGTCTTCTCTTCTGCCGCTCTGACCTGATCTCAGTGACTGTCCGCAGCTACGTTCATAGACGTGGTCTCTCAGGTGTCCCCACAGAGAGGAGGCGACTGATCCACTTATCACCGGTGATTCTGAAACCACTCTTGATCCTTGGGAACAACAGGCATGGCCCCTCCTATTGAAGCCATTGCGAATGGCGCGCTTCTATGTGCGTACCTGCCCAGATGACACCAGGGTTTCTCCAGGACTCCGATATACTACCATCATTTTCCTTGAACCAGACTCGTCCGACAAAACCATGGCTGCGTATCGCTATCCAAGCGGTTCATTTCACTGTCCACAGCTACGGCTGCGGCGTGTCAAATCTCTGCCCGCCGCCGACCTCATGTTTTGTGTGGAGCTGTGGTGGAGGGGGGAGGGCAGCGTGCGAGCCGGCGGTTTCTTGCGGCTTTTGGCACGGCCGCTCGTTCTGGACATGCGCGCCAGGATGGTTAATAGGGGTGCCCCTGTGATACGCCAACCCCATCGGGGGAAAGGCTACGTCCATATGGATATTCAAACATTTACGGCGTTGAAACTTTATCGGCCTAGCGCACCGACAGCTAGGCGCTCGGCGCCTTCGCCTCTACGCCATGTAAAGCCGGCGGAGGAATGGTGGGCATTTAGGCAGTTAACAACCCTGACCCTTTTCCATGTGCATATAACTTTGCCTTGCATTTAACGCAATTTCAGGAAATGGAGCTCTTGAGAAATTTTGAGATAACACATTCGCACATCAATCCTAATTATTCGTTATATGTCGTACTCCCTCCGTACTGGCATCGTTTTGTCTCAATATGCATACCTAATATTCGAGGGTGTCACTTATAAGTGGTGTTAAGACGCGTGCTGGCCTTAACTTGGTGTTCCTCTACGTGTCTAGCGATCAATTTATTGGGAAAAGCAGATCGATCAATGCGTAGCCTCAGAAAGCAGGTTAAGTCAGGTTAAGAAGGACGCGTCGTAGTTGGGTTCATGTTTCGGTAACGCCTTTATCTTGCATGGCATCTCTACGCATTCCGTAAGGGCTACTAGAAATTTCTCATGATTTCTCATGATCATTTCTCATGATCATAGAAATTTCATCGAGTTTTTTTCTCACGGCGAGCCAAGTGCGCCACAGGTGATTTAACCAATGAGTCCTGGCGGGCAGCGATGGAGGCAGGCCCACACGTTGCGTAGGTGAGGGCTCCTCGCGAGCAGCACGAGAGAAAGTCCTACGTGGCACGTACGCAGCTTGTATGGCCTTGTGCCGAAGGTCCCTTTCCAACAAAAGCAAGGGAGCTGGCTGCCAGTCGATCTCTCCGCGACCAACAGATGAGATAGGAAACACTTTTAAGCGTCGCTGGCTGCTGGTGAGAGAAGCGGTGCAGCATGTGCTAGGTACAAGATTCGCGACTCTCAGAACGTGAGATTCCATTCTCAGTTGGCTGCCAGCGACTACAGAAGGCGAGGTTCGCACGTATGTTTCCGAGAAAAATGACATAAAATGAGTGGAAATAACCTGAAGGTGATAGCACGCAAAGGATATAGCGCACAGAGCACATGGCACATAAAGCACATACCACGTAAATCTAACAGAACAAAAAGGCGACTTTGTGGCAAATATCCTTGGACATGCCCGCACATAATTTATTCCCCTTCATGCGTCGCTACAATTTCGGCGCAAATGCGACAAGTTCCGCCGAAAGTCACTAAAATAGCTCTCATTGACTTCGGCTACCGAGGCATTGGTTTTGGTTTTGCACTTGGTGGGCTTCGTTAAGTTATTTTGCTGTTTCGGTTTGGTTGGGAGTGGCTAGGTAATGCTGAGTACTTCATCGAAAGGTTAAGGTGCCCTGCGTTGAATATGTGATGCCTCGTAATATGAGTGAAACATTTGTGCCCATTTGGACGCTTTTAATTTGGAAGCGCATGTCTATGGAGTACCTGACAACCCCACACTTGGCGCCTGTGCGATAGATCAACATCAAACCATCCCCATTTTATCCTGATTGGCCAAAAATTCATCCTGGTGTGAAGCCAGTGACTTTTGGTCACACCAAATCCTCCCAAAAATGCAAAACCAAGAACAAAAAAGGGTTGCTGAGGGCCCCATACCACAATTCTTCAGGACATCACCAGATAATCTTGTCCAGTTAATGTTCCATACTTAACAGAAAATGGTGACCTTGGCTGTTGTGGATTGGGTCACATAACCAAAAATGCCTGAAGCCATAGGCAGATGTATTGGTTGAAGTGTTAGTCTACATATATGAGACCAAATAAACTATTGTACAGGCTAACCTATGGCTCTTTTGATGCCCTCCTTGTACCCATAATATCCCAAGTTTTTTCCTTAATTAAGAATTTGTTTGCTTTGATGGACTGCCGGGCAACAGCATGCATGATGCCAGTGACAAATTTGGCATATTTCATGTTGGCACATGGCTGTGACTCCCATACAGCAGAAGTGATGTGACAAGGGCTGTCTGATCATTGTTAACCCACAGAAATGAACATGGAGCTAGCAAGGGAAAGCATTGATATGTTTCTGAACAACCGTGTGGTGGAAGCTGAAGAACTCTTCCGTCATCACGATGAAAACTGGCATGTCAGGATGGCACAGTGTTATGCTGCTGTCATGGTAAGTGCCCTTGCTGCTCTTTGGCATAATGATGATGCAAGTAAGGACAGAATATATTATGATCCAGTATTGTAAAATAATGTTTTTTATGGCAGTGGTTGAGCTGATTTGTCATGCCAGTAAGACTGAGATATTTTCTCAGTCAGGAAACATTACTGGATTTTCTTGTGATATGAAAAGTAGGCCCATATGTTGTATGCACATTTTTCAAGTCTTATGTCATTCATGAAATTAATTACATGATCAATATCTCAGTTTTTAAGGTTTGCCTCTGTCTTTTGATTGGATGGCTTTTTATATCAGAGCCAATGTTGAGTGGTGTGTGGCACATCAGTCTGATCTCACTAACTGATTATCAAAGTCCAGTACAATTTCATAATGCTATGACAAAAGCTTAACATGCTGTGGTGTTTGGCACTGATCCTTCTACCCTGTGACATTACCTGACCTCAAATGTGAATGTTACCACTTTTTGTGGTGCATCTTGGCATCTAAGGGGACATGAATCTACCTGGAACTAATCTTGCCACATGAATCCAAAAGGCAGTGCTCTAATCATACAAACTACCAATCTAGAGACTCTTCTCTGTACAATATTGATTGTGCTAGGAGCGTAAGCTATGAGCTTAGGAGCTAGGAGCTGAGGAGCTTAAGTGGGGCATTTCTACCATCTTTGAGTGATGAAGTGTTAAAAGTCTCCTGAAGTCATGGGGTAGTCATCTGGAACTATTTACAAGACTAGGGACTACACCACATTATTTATGTGGGTTAGTGGCACTCATCCAAGTTCTCATCAGTGAATAATCTGGGTTGATGTTTTACCAACAGAGTGCTGTTGTGACATTTGAAACAGCTCAGCTGGAGCAGACACTGCAACTGCTGAAGGTGACAGAGAAGGCTGTGGCACCTGGCTCTGGCCTTGTCAGCCAGCTAAAGAGCAAGCTGAAGGGCACTGAGCAGCTCCAGGCATGTCACGTCTTCTGTTGCGTGTGATCACATCATCCCACTCAACATCCCCATAAAGAGGGTCCCATTTTGTGGACACCGCATACCACAGGCTGCCACACAAGTGCCGCAGGCTGCCATAGGCTGCTTCAGACAGCTCAACTGTTTATCATAGATGGGCTTAATGGGAAGGAGTTGGTGCAAACCTTCACAGTCTGTAGTGTATGGCTGAAACAATAGCATCCATCCAGCCCAGCAGGCTTGGTCCTGTCACTGGAAACTTCCATTGGCAGGCTCACACTAAGGTGCTGCAAAGCTGACAACATAGCCCTTCCATTGGTAACCACTGATGTCGTCCGTGGCAGGAGGAGGAAGTGGTGGAGCTGCTGGAGCGGCAGATCGTGGTGGCCGATTGCCAGGTCTGTGCTGCCGTCCTCAACTTCCTGCAGCAGGTGAGGTCAGCAAACAGCAGTTAGCTGCCAAGGTCCTTCACTGGGCTGCTTGCTGCCACATCTTGTGCTTCATCTATCCCTTCATCTTTCCCTTTGGCACCAATAGTTTGGAGAGGATTGCACTTTATAAGCTTTTGTTGGATGACATAAGAAATATGCACCCCAGATGTGTGGCTACCCTTAACCATTGTTAAAGAAGCCTTGCAGTTGCTTTATGATGACACTGGATCTGGACTTCCAATTTGTATCTGACAGATGCTTGGCAGAGGCAAAAACAAATGTCCTACATAACATGTAGACAAAGCCATCTTGAAGAGGGTGCTCCTTTTTGAAGATGTAGAAGCAAGCTTCAGATGTGGTGAATTTAGTTCACTTTCGACTTTTAGCATACTGTTAAGTGGAAAATACTGCTCTATGTGACACAAGTTCTCTAGTGAATATGCCCCCTAATACTTCATGGTGTGATTGTGTCATCACACCTGGCACAACATTGTGTAAAGGGAGCGTTCCACATTTATGCGGGGTTTCAAACTGAAATAGCTATCTCGAAGACATTTGGTGCCATCCACAATCCTGCCCTTCTGAAGACGAAAGCCCGTCTAGTTTCTGAGCCGCACGCCCGCGAAAATGGGAAAGGTATATCGGGAAGAGTATTTCATTCAGCTTAGCACTCATGATGTCATAACGACGTCATTCAAATTCTACCATTCCATTTGCCATGCGGCGATCAAGGCCAATACAAATATCATTGTCGAGGCGTTCATGTCTGTTGTTCGTGACCGCGATCGTCAGATATAACGGCCTGCTATTGGCTCACAATCAATGTTGTGCAAGGTGCGACGACGTAATCAAACCATGACACATTGAGGAGCATATGTACTAAACAGACAATTTTGCGGTCTTGAGTGGTCCTCTCCACTTGAAAAGTATACCAATCGTTGTAAGTGAGCTTGCTTCATCATATTTCATGCTTGCTTCAATATTTTCAAATTTGAAGCATTCCGAACAGCCTACGGACGGCCGTTATGTCTGAAAATCGTGCTAACGAACGTTAGATATGGACGACTGGACAGTTATATATTCCGAGGCCTTGATTGCTGCATGGCCAACGAAATGGCAGGATGGAAATGTTATCATTATGGCGTTATGGATACCTGGGTGACCTTGAAATAGTTGCACTCATGCACTTATGGGCTCATCAGCTCAGAAATAGAGGAGCTTAAGTGGGGCAGCGCTGCTAACTGCACGGAATGATGTTCTAGGTAACTGTTTCAGTTGAAAACTGCATACAAATGTGGAACACTCCCTTTTAGATCTTTTGTCTCTGTTCTGTTGGAAGTCTTCGCCGGGGTGCTGGTAGTGTAGCGTCTGGAAAACCAGGAGCATGGGCTTTGATTCCCCGCGGTATCCGCCCTTCCTGCCAGGGTGAGAGGCAGGCGATGCCATGTAGCCTTAGCAGCTGAGCGCGTCATTAAGTCCCGGGAAGTCTCCTCTATGGTCCTCTCGGTGTTGTAAGCTGGTACCTTGGGGAGGCCCTCGCCACGCTTCTCCTCCCCCGGTGTAGTGAGTCGGTCCCCTCCGCTCTGGCAGGACCTGGGCAGCTGTGTGAAGGGCAGCTGGGGACTGCGGCGCGCCTGGAAGACCTACGACAGGATCTACGGCCAGATCAGCGCCATGTACCGGCAGGTGCAGCAGGAGGTGCCTGTGGACGGTGAGCGCCCGTCGCCCGTCTCGTCCGGGCCGTCCCGTTACCAGCGTACCTCCGCTAGACAAGTGTTCGCGGGCTTCTGATCGGGGCTGTTATGAGAGCGGTAGTCTTATTTGGTTTGCGTCAGTCAAGTTTGCAAGGCAGCAGCTGTCGCTAGCAGCTGTATCATTTAACTCTTGCGTAGGAAACTCAACGGTTGTATACCACGGTGCAAGCGTATATACGCTAACGCCCGTGAGAACGACTGTTACAGCAACAGTCGCGGCGATTGGGCGAAACAGAGCCTGTCATCAGACTATGCAGGAGCAAGCGTTAGGCTTTCTGATGATCTTTGTGCATGGGCCGGCGCGGGTGATGGTAGGGCCGTTGACGTCGGGGGGCACGTGTGTGCTCCGTGCGGTGTTCCGCGGTTATCGTAGTTTTTGCTGCAGTCGCATTCCCGTTGCTTTTGCTTACTCAAACGCTAGAAGCGTTGTTTGAACGGTGAGACGGCCGTTGCCGTACGTGTGGCTGTCGATCAGAAGCCCCGAGCTGTCGATCTTTCGCCTGCCTCACCGATGATTTCACACGGGAGTGCATGGGCGCTGCATGGCCTTCAGCAGTCGATGCGCCCTAAAACCCCACATCATCATCATCATCATCATCACACAGAAGTGCGCGTCGGACACCGGCGTGTTTCCCCCTCCCCCTCGATGCTCTGTCCGCGACCCGGCGTCGGTCGCGTAAGCTTCACACCCCCTCGACGATTCCACATTGATGATACAATTTCCGTGGGCTGTCCCGATACTGTTGGCACGACTCCTGTGCTGTGATGACGCCGTTGGTCCGGTGCTCGGTCGTTGACCCGGCACCATTGTCGTCTCAAGCGGCCGAGCCGGGTGAGCCGGCCGGGTGTGAGCCGCCGCCACTGCCGGCGCGCCCGCTCCTGCCCACGTCCTCCTCCTCACCGAGCCTGAGCGCGGGAGCGGCCGCTGGCGGCGGCGGCGGCGGCCTGCGCCGCTCGGCCACCCGGCTCCGTGTGGACCAGCCGAGGTAAGGGCGGACGCTGGAGAGAAAAGGGGGAAGTGAGTGTATCTGAGGTGAGGGAGGACACCGGAGGGGACAGGGGGAGTAAGTGTAGCTGAGGTAAGGGCGGACAGCGGAGGGGACGGGGGGGGGGGGGGGGAGGGGAGTGAGTGAGTGAGTGAGAGTAGCTGAAGTGAGGGAGGACACCGGAGGGGACAGGGGGAGTGGGTGTAGCTTAAGTGAGGAAGGACACCTGAGGAGACGGGGAAAGTGAGTCTAACTCAGGTGAGGGAGGACATCGGAGGGACAGGGTCCGGGAGGGGGAGGGGGGGGGAATGCGTGTAGCTGAGGTGGCGGCAGTCGCCGGCGGGATCGGGTCCCGCGGGAACATGTACCTTTGGACGGGAGCAGAGTGTGAACTAGCTGGATTGAGTGGGATAACTGCGAGCCCGGCTCGATAGATGCAGACCTCTTGGGGAATGTGTGGACTGTTATGGATGCCCTGAAAAATTGGCTCGGAGCACTGAATATTGGACAGAAAGGGCGGTATGGACCAGCAGTAGTGAGCGTTGCATTGGCCGTGAACGCGGGGTAGTGGGTATGGTCGCGGGGATGGGACCACGGTTTGAAAAAGAACGCATCGGTCCGGGGACATACGTTGGAAGGGGAAGCGTGGACCAGCGTGAGCGAGTGTGAGCCATCACAGTTGATGCTGGTATCTGGAGGGAAAGTGGGGCAGTCGGTGGTCAGGGAAGTTAGTGTTGACAAGAGCGGTGGCCTGCCGTGACATCTGTCTTGCGAAGGGCCCGTCACCGAATGGAAACCCACGCGCAACACTACGGCTCGGCTGGGGTGCCGGGCGGCCGCGGGCGCCCAGGCGTTCCTGCGCTGCGGGTGAGGTGTGTGAGGTGTGTTTGTTTGTGTGTGTGACGGGCGCCGCCGGCTGTTGCAGCGCGGTCTCGGCGGAAGCTGTGCGCGCCCTCATGGGCTCCGTGTCGCTGGGCTACGGTCTGTTCCAGCTCTGCGTCTCACTGCTGCCGTCCAAGTTCGTCAAGGTGTGGAGCCGCGTGCTACTGCTCGCCCCCCCCCCCCCCTGCCTGATGTTTTTAGCGCGAGCACGGCGGCCAGCGCGGTGCCCGCGGACTTGATCTTCCGCCGTAGCGTTCAGCTGCTTGGAACTCAAGCATTTGGCCGTTTGGTGTTTGCTCAGCCAGCATTCGTACCCACCCAGTGAGCTGTTGTGGTGAGAACATTCAGAGGAGGCTTCCGGGTAGCCATGATACAGGGCTCTTATATACCTCATTTTGTGTCCCACGTCTACGGAATGATGCAATGACGGCACTGCTTTTGGGCAGCTCTAAGTGCTCACAACAGAGTGGCGCTTGTTGTCGATGGGTGGTGGTTGAAGCCGAATGCAGCTCAGGCATCACGATGCTCGGATCAAGACGCTGCAGACCGGCGCGCCGAGCGGAGGTGACGGGCACCGCCTGACCTGACTCCGAGCGGCGTTTTCTCCGCAGGTGGTCCAGCTGCTGGGGTTCCAGAGTGACCGGTCGGCGGCGCTGGCGGCGCTGATGTTCTGCAGAACCTCGCGGGACATGAGAGCGCCGTTGGCCAGGTACCTGGCCGGAGAAATCGATACTACTGTCGTCCTCATCCGTGTTGGGATATTATTGGTGTGACAGACGTTAGTCGGAGGGGACATTCGCCATGCGATGGATTCGTCGGGCGATAGAGCTGTGCTGATGACTTTGACTGTCATGCTGGTTTTTGGACGGTGTTATGTGATCTTGTGATTTGGTTAAACAAAGTGATCGGGCAGCACACGTTAGTCCGGGCATCTCGCCCGCTTTCTCCATGCCCGGACATCTCGCCCGTTTCCGTCCGGACGTCTCGCCCGTTTCCGTCCGGACATCTCGCCCGCTTTCGTCCGGACATCTCGCCCGCCTCAGCCTGACGCTGCTGTGGTACCCCTGTAGTGGTGTGTCTGACCACCTCCTCTGGCGCTGCTGTGGTGCCAGTCGGTGATGTGTTTGACCACCTCCCCACCCTCTAGCCTGGCGCTGCTGTGGTACCCCTGTAGTGGTGTGTCTGACCACCTCCTCTGGCGCTGCTGTGGTGCCAGTCGGCGATGTGTTTGACCACCTCCCCACCCTCTAGCCTGACGCTGCTGTGGTACCCCTGTAGTGGTGTGTCTGACCACCTCCTCTGGCGCTGCTGTGGTGCCAATCGGTGATGTGTCTGACCACCTCCCCCCCCTCTAGCCTGGCGCTGCTGTGGTACCACTCGGTGGTGCGGCCCCTGCTCTCGCTGGACGGCCGTAACGTGGCAGCCGGCGTGGCCACCTCCGAGCTCCTGCTGCGGGAGACGGCCGGTCGCTACGGACAGGCGGCGCTGTTCCAGTTCTTCCGCGGCCGCGTCCTCCGCCTGCAGGTGAACACCGGCGCCAGCACGGCCCCGTCAGCCGCGTGTGGGTGTCACGCAGGACATTGCTAGCCTTCTAGATGCAACTGTGTTGATCATGTAGTCGCTCCCTGGTTGTTGGACTGCCCCGTTACGTCAGATCTGTGCGTGAGAACAGCCCTGGCGTTGCAGTCGGATCTGGAGGGCGCCATCGCAGCCTATGAGGTGGCAGCTAGCCAGGGTCAGCAGCAAGAGGTGCGACTGCTGTGCCTCCATGAAATAGGTCAGTGCGACGAATGCGACATCTGTTGTGGGAAAACGGGACGATGGATTACCCCCAGACACTTTGTGGGCTGTGACGCGTTTGTATTTGTTTTAGACAGCTTGTAATGGATAGCCCTAAGGTAGCACGTAGCATCGTCGAGGCCGTATAATTTTATTCGGATGCCCGATTTTGGAATTTGTGACAATTCGGATTTTTCATCGCGATTTTGGCTCAGCTCACTCCCACGTCGGCCATGCGAGGTGTTCTGTGAACAGCCCGATGGCGCGTGTTCATTGGCACCGGGCCGATCGGTCGTGCCAGTTGGTGACGCGCCTGACGTCTCTTCAGGCTGGTGCCGGCTTCTGCAGCTGGACTGGGTCGGCGCGTTCGTGGCGTTCTCCGAGCTGGCGCAGCAGTCCCGCTGGTCCCGCGCCTTCTACCACTACTTGGCCGCTGGTGAGACTCCTCCGAGCGCCTGCTGGAGGTCCGGGGGGGGGGGGGGGGGGGCTCCACTCCCGGTCCGTCAGGATTCACTCGAACACACCCTCGCACTGTGCAGCGCTATTCGCTATCTCAGTGCGTTAGTCAGCCCACCTGCACGTACGTTTGGCATGCGGTATGAGATGTGTAGATTTGAAATGTTTGCCTGCCTGCTGGCATACCTGGGTATGGTTCTGGCTTCCGGAGTGGAGTTTAGCCATTCGTTGTTATGTGCTGCTGGTGCCAGGTATGTGATTGTCATGTTTGGCTAGCCTGGCTGACAAGCACAGTTTTTTTCTTCGCTTCTGCGGAGCTCCCAAACTACTGTCATTAATGAACTCATAGTGGGTGATATATAGACTGCCAAATCAGATATTTGGTTGTTATTGTTAGAATATATGCTGGCCGTCTACACCTAGACATGCTTTCCCTTGGCCTTCTTGAAGACGTTACATTACTGTGCGGTTTGGGTGCCAAAAGTGTTTGCACGCCCGTTTTCAACGGTGCTTCGCTCTGAATACGGACGTTTTACCGCCAGCTATTCCGTTACCTTACCGACTGCCAGTCTTCCTCAGTCTGCCCCCAGCTCTCACGAGTGCGTTCCGCCTTGGTGACGTCAGGTCAGGTCACCCTGTCGGCCGGTCTGCCGTCTCCCCGCCCCCTCACGCCCTCTCCGTGTCCCTCCCCCAGTCTGTTCGGGCGCCTCAGGCGATGTTACCCTGTCGGCCGGTCTGCTGTCGGCCGCGCTGCCGCCGGGCGCCGGCCGGCCCGACCTGGACGCCTTCCTGCAGCGACGCACGGCGGCGCTGCGGCAGCCGGCGCCGCCGCCGCTCGCCCAGCTGACCTGCCGTCTGCACGCCTACGAACTGCTTTACCTGTGGAACGCGCTGCCCTCCTGCCCGCCGGCCGTCTGGAGCACGGTGCTTGAAGGTGAGAGGCGCGAGCGCGGGGGGCCGGCGGTCGTGGTGCTGCCCTCCTGCCTGCCCGCCGGCCGTCTGGAGCACGGTGCTTGAAGGTGAGAGGCGCGAGCGCGGGGGACCGGCGGTCGTGGTGCCGGTTCTCATTCAGCATCACGACCTTCCGGGTGGGATGTCTCCAAAGCAGCATTGCGCTTCAGGCTTCTTGTTACTTGTTATGATATTTTCTGTTCTTTCTTTAAGGAGTTTGTTTATTAAGCTAGAACAGCCAGGGCTCTGGGAACCCTCGAGATCTGAATCTGCTGCATTACTACTTCGCCTTTTCTTAATTTCCAATCTCCCACCGCCGGCCTGCCTATCATCACGCGTGATTGTGACAGTTGGGTCCCCTGCCCCGGCGTGTGGCCGGACGACGCGCTCTGCCTCCCCTCCACCCCGCCTCAGTGGGCGGGCCGAGTCCGCTGGTGCTCCTCCGCTGCCTGTCGCTGACCCGCCCCAGACAGTAGGCGGGCCAGGCTGCTCCTCTGTGTCACCTGGCGGGTCCCGTTGCGGTGACGTTCTCTGCTGGTGCTCCTCCGCTGTCTGCCGCTGACCCCTGCCCCGCCTCAGACTGTGAGCGGGCGTCGCTGGAGTTACCGGCGCTGGCGGCCGTGGCGCACCTGGTAAGCGGCGGCGTGCTGGACAACACGAGCCTGCAGCAGGCCGAGCGGCACTACCGGCGCGCGCTCGTGCTGGGCCGCGACGACCGCAGCCGGCCGCACGTGGCGCCGCACGCCAGCTACGAGCTGGCGGTCATGTACTGCGGACAGCCGCAGGTGAGGCGGCCCTGCCAGGCGGTCACGCAGTGGCGGCGGCACTGGGCACCATAGGCGTGGGGATGTCTCAAAAAGTGTGTGGGACAGGGTCAGGGTATACTTAGTTATTACTGGGAAACAAGGCCGTCCCCCCCCCCCCGATGATCAGGGGTGGGTGGGCGGATAATTAGATGTCATGTTTGACATGCCATATATATATATATATATATATATATATATATATATATATATATATATACAGTTGTTTCCCATCTGTGCACAATCTTGCCTATTCGACTCGTCTGTGCCATTCGGAATATAGAAATATCCAGCTTTACAGTGTTATTCGTCTATTTTTCAACGTTGTTCTCTGCGGAGGCGAAATTCCACCAGCGGGTAGGCATTTTGGGTCATTGGTGAGGCATCTGCCTCCACAGAATAGATGCCAAGGCACGACGTGAGCAAAGGCTGATCAAAACTTACAATCAATGGCCCACACTGTGCCCGAGTTTTCATACGTCTAGGTTTCGCCGGTTGCTTTTCAAGGGGTAATATTTGCCGCAGCATGTTAGCTGCGAACCAATTCAGAAGCCTCGAGTGCCAGCTGTCAAAAACAAGGTGGCAAAAACCATAAAACTGGAGTTTCTCTAGCAGGCAATGAAATCACCAAATTAAGGGCCTTCTTTCAGGTATTTTTTATCTGAGCCCTGCTCCCGCACGCGGTCGGCGGTCACTCCCGTGGCCCGGCTGTCCCCCGCATGGCTGACTGCGATCTGATCGTACGACTGCTTTTCTGCGTGTTCATGGATCAACATCACTACTTATTGGTGACAAGCATAGATTGGACTCCTGCTACATCATCTGTTTTCGAATTTTCTGCCCTTTACACCACACCGCAGCAGAAAATAAGCTTTCGGGTAGCTGCCTGTCTGGGTATGAGTTTAGGTCCAGCGGGCATTCATTTGCCCCTCATTCAACATAGCTGATTTCATCTGCTTTTGTATGTAGGCAGGTCATAGCCGGAGCCATGCCGGGGGGAATGTTTGATAATGATGACACTGATTAAAAATGTAATGAATTAATTTTAACTTGATGATGAGAACGGATTAACCTTCATGACACCGAGAAGTGGTGCTGGCATCTGGTGGTGGAACTACAGGATCAAAAGTAGAATATCTACTATTCCTGTTGCTGTAACTGTTAAGTCGACTTTGGAACATCCTGAGATCCTTTGGGTTGCTGAGATTGCGAGCGTGTAAGGCTTAAGACAGTTGATGTTATTTGTTTTACTAGTCGATTTGGGGGGAAAAAAACATTCTCAGGCGAATAGGGTGGGTGGGCCCTTGTCGTTTTATAACCTCATTTCGATCCACTCCATCCAACACTTCCGAGACCCCTTGCGTAAGTAGAGCACTACAGGGCACATTATCATTACCAGGGCTAAAGGCCATTCAGTCGTAGCGTGGGCTATGTTCCGGCTGCTGTTCTGGCATTGCTGTCATTTGCATTGTCATTGAATGCGAGTCATTGAATTCATGTCAATCATGCAAGTCATTGCTGACCATGTCTGATGAACGTGTATGTTGATCCCATCTCCGTCGACCCGTCTCTGTTGACTTCATCTCTGTTGACCCATCTCTGTTGATCCCACCTCCATTAACCCGTCTCTGTTGACCCCATCTCTGTTCACCGGGCGTATGGTGACCCGTCTTCACTGACCCGTCTTCATTGACCCGTCTCTGTTGACCCCATCCCGGTTGAACCGGGCGTCTGGTGACCCGTGTCTGTTAATCCCGTCTCTGTTGAACCGGGCGTATGGTGACCCGTCTCTGTTGACCCCATCTCTGTTGAACCGGGCGTATGGCGACCCGTGTCTGTTAATCCCGTCTCTGTTGAACCGGGCGTATGGTGACCCGTCTCTGTTGACCCCATCTCTGTTGAACCGGGCGTATGGTGACCCATCTCCGTCGACCCGTCTGTGTTGATGCCATCTTTGGTGACCCGATGACCCCTGTTGACCCGTCTCTGGTGATCCCATCTCTGTTGACCCGGGCGTCCGGTGATCCGTCTGTTTTGATGCCGTCTCTGGTGACCCGGTGACCCCTATTGATCCGTTTCTGGTGACCCCATCGCTGTTGACCCGGGCGTTCGGTGATCCGTCTCTGTTGATCCCGTCTTTGGTGACCCGGTGACACGACCCTGCCCTCTCTCCGCACAGCGGCGGGCCGAGGGCCGAGCCCTGCTAGAGTCGGCCCGCGACGCCTACAAGGACTACGACTTCGAGTCGCGGCTGGGCGTGCGCATCCAGTCGGCGCTGAAGCGGCTGGAGAAGGTCACCAGGGAGGAGAGGGCCAAGTGAGCTCACATCGGCCGGCCCGGTGCGCGGCGCCGCAGTCGCCAGCGCTTCAGGATCGGCGTGAGGCCACCAGAAGGCGGTGCCGACTGCTGCGAGGCCCCGTGCCGAAACTACACGTAGGTCCCATCGTTGGAGGTTGCTCCTCAGGTGTGGGACAGCGGTGGGTGGTGAGAGGACGGCGGAGCACCGGGATACAAGACGGAGCCCGGATAACACCCTGCAGTGAGGCCTGGGGTCAGACCGGGCTGAGGGTCGCGCGTCAGGTGTGCTGCGGTGCCGGCCGTGGCGCGGCAGGTGCCGGCCGTGGCGCGGTAGGTGCCGGCCGTGGCGCAGTAGGTGCCGGCCGTGGCGCGGCAGGTGCCGGCCATGGCGCGGTAGGTGCCGGCCGTGGGGCGGTAGGCGCTAGCCGTGGCGCAGTAGGTGCTGGTTATGGCGCGGTAGGTGCCGGTTGTGGCGCGGTAGGGGCAGGCCGTCGCGCGGTAGGTGCCGGCCGTGGCGCAGTAGGTGTCGGCCGTCGCGCGGTAGCCGCTGGCCGTGGCGCAGTAGGTGCCGGTTGTGGACCTCAGGCAGTGATAAGGGCCGCCGCGCAGTATCTCATCCTTGTTATCCGGCAATCGGCTGGCGTACCTAGAGTAGCTGAGGGAAACTGACTGATGTTGTTAGGCATATAGCGGACGCTTTTAGAGAAAGCAAAGTCGTTGAGTCATTGAAGATCATTTAGACATGTAACACTTTCTCGGCCGCAGCTGAAATATTCTTGCCTCACGGCACACGTATAGTGTTTTTTCCCCAGGGCCGTATACGGACGTGCGTGGTCGATCCCCGAGAACAAGCGCGTGGGTTCTGGCGCCCCACCGCCAGCCAGGGCGCCTGCCGTCCTCTGCTGTCCGGAGCCGGCCGCGGGGAGGCTTGTCTGCACGTTAGCGCAGCAGCTACTCCGGCCGCTGGCACCCTGCGCGGCGCCGCAGGGGCTTTGGCAGCCTTGGGCGGGCGAAGGAGGTTGTAGATGCTTTGTTGGTCGAGTGAGGTTAGTTTTGGGGATTCCCAAGTAAAGTTGTGTGTTTCGCCGAGCCAGGCAAACAGCACTATAACTACCACTGGCCTGTGCTGTGTTGTGGAGGGTGAGTGATAGGTAGGGTTTTCTCGGGTCGCGTCCCATCGGCGTTTGACGGTTGTGCAGGGTGGCACGTGGGCTCGGTCCCAGGTGAGTAACGGTATTACTTCGGGTTTGTCGTGGTGCCTTTGTATTTCTAGTCAATGTCTCCATCATTTGGGGTGATATCTTTTAACTACGGAGCTGATGAGTCACCGGACATCAGTTTACCTCTGTTGTCCAGGCTGACTGTCGTCTGGCGTTCCAGTGACGGTCGATATCGGACGATTTTGGGTATCAGCTGTTGTGCATAGTCTCGCCTCGGTCTTCGGCGTCGTCTACCAGGACATATGGCGTGTGCCGTAGTTTGTTTCGTCGCCGGGTGGCTTGTGGTTTCAGGGAGCACGTGTTGTTTTCACTCCTGCGTTTTTTTCTTGTGTCGATGGAGGGGCGCTGCGGCTATGTTTTAAAGTCATGATCGCATCTCCTCGTACAAGCTCAGTGACAAGGAGCGCATACAAATGCATGTTGTCTCCGTATTTGGGATTTCCACAACTTGCATCTCAAGAAAAGAAAACGCGTATATCTTGGTACGGTATGCCGCCCGGGAATCACGCGACACCGCGTCATATATGTACAGCGTGCCTAGACTAGCCCCCGCTGAAGGTACCTTGCTGTGTGTGTGCGCTTTAGCTTGGCGGTAGCCGAGGTGCGCCGAATGGTTAACTTGCGCGCAGGAGACCCGTAGGAAGTCTGCGGCAGTCAGCAGCAGTGTGTGATGTCAGCTAGAGCTGGAACGGATCTGCAATACTTTTTGATATTGTTTTGCCTACACCAGCGCGCTTTTCGCTGTGTGCGGGGGTAATAAACAGCAGGTCGACGCCTTAGATGTGAAGCTCATTGCCGACCAGTTTGTGTTGTTCCCGTGATTCTGGACCACGGTTGGTCAATGGTCCTCTTCTTGACCGATCGCGCCAGGTTCTGTGCTGCTGGGTTTCCTTCGTCCAATAGCTTGGCTATCAGTAGATACCCCTCGCTGTCATTGATTGAATGGCACATGCTAGCGCTGTTTGTCTTCTTCCCCGTTTGGTTCCGTCTGATTTAAAATCCGTCGCGTTGAGAGCTGACGGCGTCCAAAGCTCGCCGAGCTCTCCGGCGGCGCTGGTCTGGCTGCTCTGCGTGGCCCTGACCGCTCGTCATATCTAGCACCTGGCGTCGGTGGCGTAGTGTAGCGTTGCCCAGCCGCACGGAAGGAGTCGTCGCGACCGATGTCACGTGACCGGTACGATGCTGGGGCTCGAGGGGCGCCTCAGTTGTCCTGTTGCGGCAGACGACATTCAATAACTCCAGCTGTGAGGCGGTGGCGGTGGTCGTAGCTGTGACCTTTGATCGTTACGGTACTGTAGGCTTGTCTGCGATGCAATAAAGTACTCCGAGGTCTCGTGCTGTTTGTGACCAAAACCACTCCGCCATCCGAGGTAGTGTGCTGAGGACATGTGCATTTAGTTGATGCTGCCGTCCGAACTAAGCTCTGAAAGGTGTGCGACGGAGAACGTACCGCGTAGCGGGTAAGAGTGAGCCCTCTTGGTTATACGCACGGAAGCTCCCGTGTGTAGTTTTTATGGGAATAGTCATCTGCCTGAGCTGAACTATGACCGCAGGTGGTTTGAACCTATAGTCAGTTCGGCGGCAACTCCACGGCAGCAGCGTCGTGTGTAAATGGACATTTTTTCAGATATTTTTGTTTTGAATCTTAGCATTTTTGAGACCCGCGGCGCGCCCTTTGATCCTCTGGTCCCGCTTCTTTTGACATGCGCTCGGGTGCGGGTCAACTTGACCCCCCCCCCCTCGAAGGTTTTTCCAGAATGGTTTCCGAACTGCGCGGCACAGCCCAATTTTGCATAGCTGTAGATAATTGAATGGCGGTTTGTTTAGTATCAAATTTGTGGATGTACCTTGTAAGGTCGCAGACATATGGGGGGTCAAAGTCAGGCCATGATTTCAGCGGAGCTAATTTCCAGGGAATCGTTCAATCTGATGCAACAACGTAGTGTTTGACAAAGGCATACATCTCTGAAGTGCTCTCTTAGGCAACACATGTTAAATGGGGGAATTACGTTGACCTAAGGTCAGGTATGAGTGGCAGACCAAGGTCAAAACCGACCTGTTTTATTCCTCAGGCTTGCTGTAAGGGATAGTTTTCGGTGCTCATTTCGAATTTATTGATAGCAGGAACCGCATTGTACATATGCTATACACTTCTTAGAGGCCAGAATAGGTTAGTGACCGAAAATGACGTAGGCCGACATTTTGTTTTTGGAGACATACTGCCTAGCGTAATCATTGTCGTTTATTCAAATGCAAGACTGAGAACAGTCTTTTGTGATTTTGGTCACCATGACCTTCAAAAGGTCAAACAAGGTCGGTGACCTTAAATGAGCGTGTGACTTTTAGCTTAAAAACAGTTATCTAGGTTCTGGGGACACTTTGGAGACCAACCTGGAACTTGACCTTGTTTAACCTTATTTGACCCGAAGGTCATGACCTAGTAACCTTACACTTGACCTAAGTGGGTTCACGTACAGTTCAACATACCCTGTAAATTTGGTGTTTCTGGCTCTCTTAGGTTGGGGGTGGGTGGCTTCGGCTTCTCTGGCTTTGCTCGGGTGGGGGGTCAAATTGACTCCCGGGCGAAGGGTATCTAGCCGGCCACCCGGGCGCGTGTTAAAATTGGAACGTCCTTTTTCAAGACGTCCTCGCCCTTTTAACACGTTTGTAAGTCTCAATGACGTCATTCTGTTCTTAATTTTTATTTTCATCCCTACAGCATGTTTTTTTCGTGTGCCGGGAGCGCTCCATGGGCTATTGTGGGCACCCCTCCGGGTTTGGGGACACCATATTCTTTAGGTCGTTATTCTCGGCCTCGAGGCATAATTTCTCACCTTAGGGATATCTATTGCGTCCTCAGGGACGTCCCTCTTTGGGCTAAGGCGTCTTTCTACTATCAAGGGCAGCATTTTTCCGGATTGGGAAATGTTCTCAAGCAACAAGCACCCCATTCTGCCCCTCAGGCATGCTCCGTCAATATTTGGCGCATTTTATTTTTGAAATTGTCCTTTTAAAAGGGTCTTAGACCTGGTGGTGCGACAAGTTTTGGGCGCTAGTGGCGGACTTTGAGCCCCCCCCCCCCTCCCGGGCTTAAAGGAATCTGTTTATCGTTTAGGGCTTTGCTGTTTTGCTGGCCGTCGGGACGTATCTGCAAACGTTTGTTGACCGTTTTAGCCATAGGGCTGCTTCCAGCTGTTGGGCGCCCTTTTTATTATAATGACTACTCCTTTCGTCCCCAGAGTAGACGACGGGGGAGCCGAATGAGTCCTCGTGGGGGAGGGACATCTCATCTCTGGGGAGGGACATCTCTCAGACATCTCCTTTCTTCCCGCCAAGGTTTGGGACAACTTTGAGTCTTCATCGTTTCACAGCCTGCCTTATTCAGCCTCGTGCCTGCCGTACCTTCAGGGGCGTCGCCATCAGGACTGGCGACACCGTGGGGACATGGGGTACGCGCCTCTCACAAGTTTCGGAACGTAAAGGATTGTAGTCTGCAAGCTCGAACAAACCTGTAATTGCCAGACACATGTATGCACGTCGTGTTGCGCCGTTCTGAAGCACACAATTTCACGTAGGGCGCGTAAGGAGTTTTTCATGCTTATTACAGCCAGTGGGTTGAAACAAACCAGTTTTCTTTACAAAAAAACGACGGTTTCTTCTATACTTCCTGCATTACTGAAGCGAAAATTAAAATACATTGGGTCGATGAGCAGCGGAACGAATGAGAATTTGTCAGCAACGAGCTGGATGAGCAACAGGGGTGAAGTTTCGCGAAGCGATGCGGGCTTAACCACGAAAAAAGTTATGCATCTGACCCGTAATATTTGCCAACAGAGTTTCTCTCCTCATTTGGCTCATCTTTCTATGAAAGCTGGGGGGTGGAGACGAAGTCGGAACTGAAGCCCCTCCAACTGAATAGATAATTGCACACCTGTTGACGTATTAAATAGGGAAAGTGAATTCAGTGCGAGTAAATAGTTAAATGAAGCAACTGATTGGGCCGATTATTTATTGTGTGGAAACATCACATCGCTTCTGAAAACCCATTTTCAAACTGGGTGCCTCAATCTGGTCAACGTGCCGAATAGTAGCACGTTGACAAATGAAAATGGGACATGGAAAATGGACCAGGGACTAAGTGGCAGTCGCTCCGACAAATCTCACAGCTGATCCCCTTTCTCGGCTTGACCCAGTTTGAAATCAGTGCACAGTGTATTTCCCCCATGCGACTGCAAATTACACCACGGACTTGACGTTGCCCGGTTCTAATGAGCGCCCGTCGCCCGTGAAGATAAAAGGGCGTTACGTCTTTCATGCACTCCCGGCAGAGCCGTATATTAACTCCCCTGGTGCCGGGACCAAGTGGCGTTGATAACGGGAGCGCGTGCCTTCTGTCGCCTCACCTAAATTCTGCGAACCAATGCACCTCCCCAAACACGCCAGAATATTGTGGACGGCGCCAGTTGTATGGGCCGCAGCCGGGAGGATGTTACTGCTGCACAAGGTTTAAACCGACCAGATATTTAGCATTGATTAGACGTGTTCCCCAAACGGTATTTGAATGATGAAGGAGCCATCAGTGCAGATAAGGAAAGGTAGTTTGCGATTTCTTTGTGAGACTCACGCAGATCCATTTGTCGCTTTCCTCAGGAAGGTGCAGCATGTGCAAGATATGCCCACAATAGAAACACTCGGCAGTCACGCACGTATTAGTGAAGAAATTGCTGCCACAGCTGGTCACCGTATGCTAAAAACAAAGATTTAGCGGCAAGAAATGATCAAAAATCCGACGCCCAAAAAATCCAACAGGTGCCTTTTGTCAGGTGAAAAATGCAGGTTTCTTACTTAATGCTAGGCTTAGGACCATTTGCCTTTGTTGGAAGAAGCTTGCAAAAAGATCGTTTACGACCTCCATCGTTAAGTAATTAAAACTTACACTCATATCCGCGGAATTTGGACTGTTACGCCACTGTTGGAAATAAAATTCCCTTTTGGGAAGGGGGCGAACGATAAAGTTATGTCGACAGTGATGTAAACTTAGCACAGGGAACAGCTGACTACGAGACTGCCGGCTCGAGTGGTGAAGTCCTACTGTTCTGTAGTGCTGCTCGGCATCAAAAGTGACTACTCAGGCGGCCGCGAGAACAGCTAAATGTAATTAACGACCTTGCAGCGTACAATAGGTCATTGCATCGTTGATCGTATGCGACAAACAATGCATAAAATGTGGGAACATCGAATCAGGGTGCGCATCGTACAAACATCTCTTGTGGTTTCTTCTGAAAGTTGAAGCAAGGCTCTGGAGCTGATATCAATGCATAGACAATGTTGTATATTCAGGCTAATTGATACTGCCCTCATGAATGAGCGACGTTGTAGACATTTCACCAGCTAAATAGTTTGTGTCAATTCAGGGACCTTTTTGCTACCTTGAGTTTGAAAGCGGGGCACACATCCTCGTTCCTTGTTTGAAGACTTAACAACATGATTGTAGGCGACAGCTCACCTGTGGGTGAGAAGCTGCGAATCGCTTTGTGAGGTCCATTGAGCTCCCAAAAAGACGTGAAGCTCGACTCCCCGACCTGAGCTTATACCACCGACACTCACAGGTCCTGATCACCTGAATGGGACCGTGACCAACGACACACACTCAAAAGGAACGGCACGCCCCAACAAACCGGGGAACTGCGAGCCCCGTCAAACTGAGGCCTGGCTGCAGATGATAGCTCTGTGGTGCTGTATACGAAGACTGCTTGAGACAGGTAAATCCAGACCACGCATTATTATAATTGCTAGACCAGACGTACACATGCCAGTTCTTAGCCCTGCCCGAACGGCTGTCCTCGTTCCATGAGCACCATCTTCAGGGCCACGTGTCGTACCGCTCCTGCGTGCCTCCGCTCTGCAGAGGAGCCTGCTCCCCTTGCGATACCTTGACCCCCTTCCAGCGCCTCCAGACGGCCTCCCGCGCCAGCGCCAGCGCTACCACCACGAAGAACGAGATGGGCACGCCGATGACTAGGTCGAACGCGAACAGGGCGGCGGCCGTCGGCTGCTGGTGCCAGTCGAGCACCGGGTAGAAGGCTGTGTGGCCGTGCTCGGTGGTGCCCCCCAGCGTCGTGTACACAGCCGTGAAGCAGAGGTAGAGCGCCGCCACCGCCGCCGGCTGCAGCACGTGTAGCGGACGCCGTGGCACCCTGCGGGATTACCGCATAGTCAGCAGGGGGGAGGGGGGACAGGTCGGCGGTACAGCGAGACACCGCGGCACCCCGTGTGGGTACTGGATAGTCAGCAGAAGGGGGGGGGGGCAGGTCGGCGGTACAGGGGGACGCCGCGGCACCCTGCGGTGGTACCGGATAGTCAGTGGGGGGGGGGGGGGGAGGGGAGGGGGGAGGGCAGGTCGGCGGTACTGGAGACGCCGCGGCACCCTGCGGGAGTACCGAATGTTCAGCCGAGGGAGTGGGGTGAGGACGGCGGTACAGAGGGACGGCGGGGTGCCCTGCAGTTGCACGTGATGGTCAGCGGGAGGAGTTACAATGACGGTACAGAGGGACACCGCAGCGGCCTGCCGGGTTAGCGGATAGTCAGCAGGGAGAGGGATGGGACGGCAGTACAAAGGGACACCGCGGCATCCTGCGGGGTTAGCGGACAGTCAGCAGGGAGAGGGATGGGACGGTAGTACAGGGGGACACCGCGGCATCTTGCGGGGTTAGCGGACAGTCAGCAGGGGAGAGGGGAGGGACGGCAGTGCAGGGGAACACCGCGGCGGCCAGCCGGGTTAGCGGATAGTCAGCAGGGGAGAGGGGAGGGACGGCAGTACAGGTGGACACCGTGGCACTCTGCGGTCGACGGAGGCTCGGCAGAAGAAGCGGGTACGGAGCGGCAGGGAAAGTGAGTGCGGAGTGGCACAGGGAGCGGGCATGTACACCAGACGACTTATTCATCAGCTGGTCAAGAGGTATATGACCAAACCTAACCTCAGCAGAACTCAGGCCTGACTCTGAAGGTGTGAGGCCTAAATGTGTGGAGGGCCTGTAGCGCATCCCCTCCCCGGTTAAAGGTAGGAGAGAACGCGTCCCCAGCGCCCACGCGCGGGCGCTGTGTTCAGGGACGCACCGGTGGATGAAGAGGAGCAGGAGGACGTAGACGCTGTTGCCGCCGTGGGACGAGACGGTGAAGTAGCTGGGCGGCTGCTCCGAGTCCGGCTGGAACACGCTCGGCCAGAAGGCGATGGTGACGGTGAACACGAGCGCCGCGCTGATGTTGTGCATTAGCCAGCTCCAGCGGTAGCGGAACGGAAGGCGGCCAGCCTCTATCAGCAGGCCTTGAGAAGCAGACGATGTTATCATGCCTTAATGAGAAGGCCAGGTGATTAAGTTTTGAGATTCTGTCTCATGTGACAGATGTGCAGGGAAGCAGGCTGCTATCACTTGAACCATTGGTTGGCTGTCGATTTTGCGGGCTTCTTTGAAATGGAGTCAATATCTTATGAAGCGCGTGATGTATTCCAGATGGCCAATATCGCCGAAAACATGGGTCTGTTTAATAAGACGTCGACACTACTTCCTTGATGTCTGTAAAATCGAAAATCCAACAGATCAGCCCAAATATAAGTAAGACGTCACGGCATGGCGTCGACATGCCTTTGCCGTATTTCCTATCACTGCTATAAAAGGCTTCCATTGTAATGTTACTAAAGGTCAAAACGTTCGACGAGAATGCAATGGACGTCGAGCGACGTACAGATGTATGCTCTGCACTGTTGACAGCCCACACGAACAGACCACTGTTGACCGGATGCATTGACTGTTGTGTATATTCAACTTTGTGGATCTATGTGCAGCTGTGTTTGGTATAAATTTGGCGCCTTTTGTGTCTCACTATCAAACAGAGTGGAAGGTCGCGTCGGAGCCACGTCTATTGACCTGACCTGACCCACTGACCTTTCCTGACCCGGTACACGTGCTCGAGTGCCAGGCCGGCCGACACCATCGCGCTGTGGGCCAGCAGACACTGGGTCCAGTTGGTCAGGTAGATGATGAAGTGGGAGGCGAAGTGAGCGCCGTCCCACCAGCCACCGTGCTCTGCCGGCATCAACACCTGCGCCAGCCGTGGCCGGTCAGGGCGCGTCCAGCAGCTGCACCAGACGTCGGGTCCTTCCCAGGGACTGCAAGACCGGCGACAAGCTTCCCAACGGATGGGACCATTGCCGGGATTGTCGTCCTCGTCTGGTGTGTTAGTTTACGCGTAACGTTTCGGCCACTTGTCACTCCAGCAGTTATCATGATGCCATGGATTAACTGATTGATTTGCTTTATTACAAACGATTAGGTTTTATCGATGCCTTGCAATATCGCCCTTTCGTCATGACATGAGGCAGATGCACGCGGATTTTTCGCGTTCACACAATATTTACAGATGCCAGTGATTATGCTGGAATATTGGCTGACATCGAGCCCGGCGCTAGTCCTGACAATTTCAGTGGACGAGAGCGATGCTTTTACGGACGCGTCTGTGGGTCGACCAGTGATGCCATCGCTTCATGAGTTCTAGACGGCGTGTTTGCTGGTCAGCTGGTGTGATGTTTATACCTGATCTGGCTTCATGAGTCTAGACGGCTTGTTTACCGGACTGCTGGTGTGATGTCTGCACCTGGTCTGGCTTCAGGAGTTTTAGACGGTGTATTTGCCGAACAGCTGGAGTGATGTCTGTACCTGATCTGGCTTCATGAGATCTATACGCCGTGTTTGCCGAACAGCTGGAGTGATGTCTGTACCTGATCTGGCTTCATGAGATCTAGACGCCGTGTTTGCCCAACAGCTGGCGTGATGTCTGTACCTGATCTGGCTTAATGAGATCTGGACGGCGTGTTTGCCGAACAGCTGATGTCATTTCTGTACTTGCTCTGATCGCCTAGACCTGACACCAGACCTACCCAAAATGGTCGGACCCATGGTCTGCGTAGGCGAACGCGTGACCGGCTGACAGCGTCGGCTCACAGCCTGTGCATAGGTTTTGCCAGTACGTTTGGTTCAAACTATTTCACCTGCATAGTTTTTGTGTTATATCGCTGCGATGTCTGGCCGACCAAATCAGGGCTTGTTTTGACCTGTTTCTAAGCTGTTCCGTAATTTGGAAAACTTATGCCCCCGAGTTGATCGAATGAAAGATTCAACAAACGATTTGATGCAGCGTTATTCGAACTTTTTTAGATCTGCGGCAAATACCGTAATTTATTTCCGATCGTCTTTAGAGCTTCCTGACAAAAAAGAACTGTGCATCGTTTCCTCTGTACTACCTACCTTGCCTGAACGCGCCCTGAACTCCTACCGACGACGAACAGTACCTTCACTAACACCTCGACGTTGAGGAAGAGGGCGCTGCTGACGCTGAAGAAGACGTAACTCCAGGATATGTCGGAGCGCTCCTGCCACTGACTGGTGCCGAAGTCGGCCGGGCTGCCGGCGTCCAGCCGGTACTGGTTGTAGAAGCCGGTGTGGGAGGGCGCCGATGACATTCTGCGGCGCAGCCGAAGACGAGCATTGCCAGGATTGCCAGAGATCACATTACTGCATCAGTGCTTGAAAGCGGCTTGAATAGGCTCCAGTGAGCATTCGGAGGTCCCCGAGTTTGGATGTCTGTAAAGACCTGGAGGAGCTTTTCAGAGATCGGGCTCGTCCCTCAGAAAGTCGTGCAGCTGTTACCGTGCACAGCATTCATACGCGAGTACCTAGCTGTCACATAAATTACGGCACTATGACAAGACCTCCCAGATGTTTAGCTTCAAGACGATTTTTAAGAGGCCCGATCCATTTAAACCGACTTGTCTCTGAAACAGCTGTTAATGAAGATTTGAGAGCAATGCCGTGTGACATACCTGCCAGCCTTGTGCGGGTACCGGCCGTCGAGCACGAGTGTGCCGAGCCTGCTCCTGTGACTGGTTCCCGGCTGAGACCGGGCGTCGAGCACGAGTGTGCCGGGCCCGCTCCTGTGACTTGTTCCCGGCTGAGACCGGCCGTCGAGCACGAGTGTGCCGAGCCCGCTCCTGTGACTTGTTCCCGGCTGAGACCGGCCGTCGAGCACGAGTGTGCCGAGCCCACTCCTGTGACTTGTTCCCGGCTGAGACCGGCCGTCGAGCACGAGTGTGCCGAGCCCGCTCCTTTGACTTGCTCCCGGCTGAGACCGGGCGGCAGGCCACCTGGCATACAGGTGTGGCGATGGATTATCATGCGCCGAGCATCAGCTCGTGCAGCGCGGCCACACGCGCCCGCTGGGTGGTGCCCTCCGACCCCGACCTCTGAGATGGCAGACGTTGTATTGGGTCACGCGTCCTCGCGGTATATGCTTGCTGTATGCTGTTCACGCCCGACCGACCGTGGGTGGTGCCACCTGGCGACCAAGTCGATGAATATGCGACAGCGTGCGATCTCGGCCAATGGTTCAGCTGTCGTTTCGTGGGGCGTAAATGTGGTTGTTTGATCCCTGTCGTAAAAACCGAAACGTGGCCATTTATTTGTGGATGGCGGCGTGAATGCCGTAAATTTTGTGGATGTTGTGTGGTATAAAAGTGTGCCATATATCTTACTATACGTGTTTAACAGAATGCGAACCCGTGGTAATATAATTTCAACCTTCTGAAACCTATTGCTGACTCAAATGGTTAAAGCGGAGGTACCCGGTACCAAGAAAATATCTAGCTTACTGAGGTCAATCACTTCGCAAACGAAATGGCAGGCGTAGCAAACAAATGCCAACGAAATTTAGCGTGTATTATAATCTTTCTCAATTAACTAGCAATCTCTTGCCCGGGAGATACGGCTTTTGCTGCTCCCGTCGTGCGAGTGAACAGAGGCGAAGGAAACGCCTCATCGCGACCTACTTGGCGCCTCTTCACCCCTTACCTGAAGTCTCAGGCAGGTAATGCAACAACTGTTTGTTGCGCTGAAAACTAACTTAACCGTCCCGTGTAGTGTTATATATGTACTTTCTAAGTTGCTGCTGCAAGCTGCCCGAAATGTTGGCCAATGACCTGACATGTTAAATGACTATTGCGGGTTCTGCGAAAATTGTGTGATGGTTGTTGGACGTACGTGTACGTCTATTTTTAGATGCATCGCGTGGATACATGTGAGTAGGCCTGATGGTCACACAGCTATGCTTGCGATCATAATTATAAACATGGGTTGTGTAAGACTTGCCCGGATGGAGCCGCCCGAGGCATGCTCAGGCGGAGGAACAGGCGCAGGATCGTGCGTGATGCAGTGTCTGGAGCAGACACGCCCCCAGCGCATCGCTGGGGGCGGCTACCGCACACGCTGAGGGCTTCGCATCGGTCCGGCAGGGCGCCGTCGCCGTCCCTCCCTCCTCTGGGCAACAGGTACAGGCCCCCTGGTCGTCGGCCCATAGTGGAGTTCCGCGACGGTGAGGTGACAGGCGCGGGGGAGCCGCGCACGGGTGTCACGGATGGCAAACGGGGCGGAAGTAAACCCCAGGACTGTGCCAAGCTGGCATTCTCCAATACAAGCCACCTAGTTCACGCTTTCTGTACTCTGCCATTGGCCACACCGTCTCAGATCAGATTGTCCAACACCCGCACGTTCTGATGCGCCCGCCAATGTTTGAGGCATGGTGAGAGAACCACAGCCGGCCGGGCGATCTCGTATACACGGACGACTCGAGGCGCCGGATCAGGGGTCAGGGAGGACCGGCAGACCCGTGGGGCGAGGCACAGCTCCGCTGGTGATGAGGGTCCGGTCCTGGTGACAGCGGCAAGCCCTGCTTGTCGTGGGAGAATAGCCGAGAAGGCTTATAAAAATGACAAACGCAAGCGGTGAAATATGTACTTGCGGAGTCAAACGCTTTTTTCCAAATCAGCAGGACCATATCATTGATGCGGTTAAATGTAAGCGATACAAGTGTGCAGTTTAGCTCAAGTTATCTTCTGTGAAAAAATGGTAGCTTAAACATTTCCGTGTGCAATTTCGTTTGAGTATATATCTGTTTTGTAGTGGGCTCGTGCACTTCCTGGCAGCTTAGTGATTCCTGTATAGTTGCTTTATTCTCTACGGGCGGCACGAGGCTCTGACGCCTGCCGGGCAGCTCCAGCTTGGAGAATGCGGAGGTTTTCAGCGCAAGATTGAAGAGGACGCTGTGATCGCCGGGGATACATGAGGGTTCAGCATGCGCTGTAATTGCCGGATCGCCGTGAGGGCTCAGCATGCGCTGTGATCGCGAGAGCTCCATGAGGGCTCAGCATGCGCTGTGATCGCGAGAGCACCATGAGGGTTCAGCATGCGCTGTGATCGCGAGAGCACCATGAGGGCTCAGCATGCGCTGTGATCGCGAGAGCACCATGAGGGCTCAGCATGCGCTGCGATCGCGAGAGCACCATGAGGGTTCAGCATGCGCTGTGATCGCCGGGGATACATGAGGGCTCAGCATGCGCTGTGATCACCGGATCACCATGAGGGCTCAGCATGCGCTGTGATCGCCGGGGATACATGAGGGCTCAGCATGCGCTGTGATCACCGGATCACCATGAGGGCTCAGCATGCGCTGTGATCGCCAGAGGACCATGAGGGCTCAACATGCGCTGTGATCGCCGGAGAAACATGAAGGCTCAGCATGCGCTGTGATCGCCGGAGCACCATGACGGCTCAGAATGCGCTGTGGTCACCGGATCACCATGAGGGCTCAGAATGCGCTGTGATCGCCAGAGGACCATGAGGGCTCAATGCGTTGTGATCGCCGGAGGACCATGATGGCTCAGCATGGGCCGTGATTGCCAGAGGACCATGAGGGTTCAGCATGTGCTGTAATCACCGGAGGACCATGAGGTCTCAAAATACGGTGGTCGTTTGCAAAGCCATGCCTTTATCAGTTAACACATGTTGGATGGGAGACAGTCTTGGGACCAGGCTGACCCCAGGAAACAGGCAGACGCCGGCCAGCGTCTGTCGTAGGGTAGTCCAGTGTAGATTGGCGGCTTCCCGACGATCAACCGGTCTAGGTCAGGTGTCTTCACAAAATATTTCGGTCCAAATGATGCGTCTTCAGAGAGTTGGTTGGTCCAGCTTGGCGACGCGAGATGTTGGTTCGGTTTGGATCAAGTGACGCCATAACTGTGCAGGTAAGGTACCCGGCAGCCCAACAACCCAGGTCACGGGGTGACCTCGGGAAACGGGCCGGCCTGAGTACACTGACCTCCGCCAGGGGCGGCCGATCCAGGGTGGTGGGTGAATACTGGTTCACACTTCGGACCCTTCTCCACCGTACAAGGCCGGCCCGGGTTCACTGACCTCCTACAGAGGCAGCCGTTCCAGAGCGGTGGGTGCATGCTCGTCCTTCTCCACCTCGGAAAGGGGCAAGAGACGCTTGGTCACCACGATGGCGCCGATCAGGACGCCGAGCACCGAGCCGAGCGCTATTCCGATGCCCAGCGCCAGTGACCAGTCGCCCGTCCGCGGCGATAGGTAGCGCTTGTCCTCGGTGCCGTGCAGCATCTGCCGCAGCTCCAGGAAGGCGGTGACGACGGCGCTCCGGATGGACGTCGTCATCTTCAGCACCCGCTTGGACTCCTCCTGGGAGTCCTCTCTTTCGGGACCGTTGGATATGCCCAGAAGGCCCTTGATGATGCTGGGGTTGGTGGCGTTGGTGCGGTGGGACTCAGAGACGGATGAGTTTGGTGTGGGGCTGGAGTTGTTGCGGGCTGCTTTTAGGTGCGTTTTGGTCGCCCCCGTTCCTCGTCGATTAGCGTTCTTCCTGTTTTTGGCGATATTCCCGGGATAGAGGCGGCTGCGTGCGACGGCTGGCAAATTTTGTGCGGGTGACAGTGACGTCGACATTCCGGTGCGGTCGCTGAGATGGTCGGCATTTTGTGCTGCTTGCCTAAGCGGTCTGTCGTTAGACCTGAGCTTCTGAACCGGATCCAGTGGGTTCGGGACAGGAGTTAGAACGTGATCGATGGCCTCTGAGCTTCTCTGCCTTCCTCGTGGTGACGGGAGGTCGTGTTCAGGAGCCGAATCACCAGCTGAGTGTGGGTGTTCTCGTCCATCACTCGCACCATGTTTTGGCGCGTGATTGTGAACCTGGAGCGATGCATTGGTCAGCAGAGTGGCCTGACCACTAAGAAGAAACGCGAGAACTTGAAACCAAATCAGGGTTTGCATCTACAGCTTGATATAGTGGAGCATTTCATCAATGGTCCTAGGTAAGCGCATTGAAGTTTAGCCCAGGATGAAATGCTCTCTTGCGTAACGCTTACGGCAAATCAAAACATGCGTCAAGCTCTTCTCTTGTTGGAATTTATCAAATGCTGCAAATGGAGATCAGCAAGCGCACAAATTTAGCCGGGCAATCATCACAAATTCATTGGAACGCGAAACGGAAAAAGTTACTTGAATCACACGTGCTGCTGATAGAAGCTGGGCTTCGAGTTAAGAATCTCGTAAGTCCGCATTTGTACTCTCGAAAACCGTCCACGAGGTGCCTTTTTGGGTCTTCGTCTCGCTACAATGTTCGTTGGCTTCGGTGGGCTACATCACTCATTCACTCGTTACAACACATTACATAAAACTTTAAAAGAAAATGTTACCAAATATGCTATAAAATATTGTATTACGACCTAGACTATACAACATGAAACTGCAAAATACGTTACGATAAAATATGATATAAATGAACGATGCTTTGAAATACGTACGAAGTATAACGATGAATCTGCAAGATGTTTTAAATTGATTATAGAATCTGCCAAACGCAGCGTACACACAGAGATGAATGAAAATACAAGGTAAGTTCATGGAATACGCATTGACCACAAATAGTGCACCTGTTCATACGTATGGGATACAACCATACAGATAACCAGCATGGGCTT